AATTCAACCACCAATTTGTAAACTCTTTACAAGTTGCCTAGAAGCATATTATATAACTCATAATGAATGTCAAAATGCCAATAAAAATTGTACAACTAATGCAATAAGTGGTTGTATTAATTTGATGGAATGTTCATAATATCAGAGATAAGAATCTTGTTAATTAGACATTAATGGAGTATAATATCAAGACAATCTTATCGTTTCAACAGGTAAATGCATTTGGGATAATGGTTTATGCAGAAATTAAATTTGTTCTGATTTTAGTGGTATTACTAATGAACAATGTAATAAGTTTTTATCAACTTGTACATTTAATGGAGTGAAATGTATTCCTAAATAAAATTGTTATTAATATACTTCATCAACTATGTGTGGTATTGCTTATGGAATAGAGGGTAAATGTAATTGGAATGTAGCACTTGATAAATGTTTAAAATTAACTTGTGATGATATTTAAAATGGAACTACATTGGCATTATGTTAGAAAACTTTATCTAATTGTATTACTAATGGAGTTAATTGTATTAATAAAGATACTTGTTCTAGATACATTACTAAAATTGCTTGTAATGTAGGAGGTACAGATGGTATTTGTGTTTGGAATGCTAAGACTTCTATATGTTCTTTAATGATGTCATGTACTCAAGCTGATAATGATTAAGAAGCTTGTTTATAAGCAAGTGATAGATGTGCTATCAAATATGCTACAAGTCAATCTACAAGTTCTTGTTATACTCATACTTGTGAAACTTATTTAAATAGTAATGGTTTATGCAAATCTTTCTATAATTGGAATTATTCTTCAAAAACAGCTTGTTCTTTTAGTTAAGGTAAATGTGCTGAAATTGATCTCTCTACACTTACTGAATAATAATGTTTAACAACTTCAGAGTATTCATTTACTTGGAATACAAACAAAAACATATGCCAATCATGTATTGCCCAACCAAATAATAATAATAACAATAATAGTAATCAAACAAATACAAGTTAAGATATTATAACACCTACTTAGACTATTGATTTTGGATATATGATACAAAGTATAATGTATCTCTATTTGATTTCTAATTGATCTATTGAATTTTTAAATATAATTATCTTTCTCTTCTCTATATAAATATTAATTAATGTATATAATAATTTTTTTATCCTTTAAATTTATTATTATATATAAATTACTATTTCTATTGATTTAAAGGTAGGTAATTTGTATTCAAAAATATTAATTGATTCTTCTTTTTTTTTATTATAGTAATACATATTCAGATATTAATTAAAATTAAATTATGTTAACAAAAAGTATAAGATTATTCAGACAATTTAGATTTTGTTCAGCTATGGAAGATATTACTAAAAAATAGGCTGAATGGTCAGCCATAGCAAAATAAAAAACATAATAGTATTTTAACCATTAATGTCAAGACAATAAGATTATTTAGAATAAACATTATCATAAGACCAAAAATTAAGAGTGAAGACTATAGCAGATGCTTGTTGTGAACTAGATCTCTTTGAATTGTAATGTTTGATGAGCTTGTTGAATGAAAATCACTATAAGGCTCAAGGAATTGGTCTCTTTGAGATTGATTCAAATTGGCCTGTAATTAAACAAAATGAAGTACCAACATGGCCTCCAAAAGAAAAAGAACAAATAGAAGCATATATGAAAGACTTATTTGGAGAGAATGTCGTATGATCATAATTAAATATCTTAGCCTGATTTCAAAGCTATTTTTGGTGGTGTAGGATCAATTGCTAATCAAGCACCAGCTGCTACTTAAAGTGAAGCTCCAAAATAAGAAGAAGAAAAGAAAGCTGATGCTGCACCTAAAGTTGAAGCAGAAGTAATAATTATTAAAATAAAATAAAGAAAAAAAATTATGATATTGAATTGAATGCAATTGATGCAGCATAGAAAATTAAGATCATTAAAGAAGTTAGGTATACAATAAAAAAAATCAATATAGATAATTACTCAATTTAGGATTGAAAGAAGCTAAAGATTTAGTTGAGAAATTACCTGCCAATTTAGGTAAATAAGTACCAAAAGAGAAAGCCAATGAATTAAAAGAAAAATTAACAGCTGCTGGATGTACAATAAGTTTGAAGTGATAATCACCAATATATATATAAAACATAATTTCATAAATTTGACAATAATTCTTTAAATTCTTTCAAATTTAATGGTTTGGATAACACATAAGTCATTCCTGCTTCTAAACAATTTATTATATCTGATTCACTTGTAAATGCTGTTAAACCTATAATTTTTATGTAAGGAATTAACTATTTATTTATCATTTCTAATATAATTTTTGTTGTCTCAATCCCATTTAATATTGGCATTTAATAATCCATCAATATCACATCAAATAATTAACAATGATCACAACACTTTTTTTATTAGTTCAAAATATCTATTGCTTATTATCCATTAAAAGCCTATTATAATTATATTTAATACTAACCACCAAAACTTCAAAATCCAATTTCTTTAACAACATACATAAAGAATGTTAATTAAATATCTCATCATCAACTGAAAGTATCTTTTTACATTAACATCGCTTTTTTTAAACAAAATTCAATAGATTTTATTAACTTTCCTAATCTTCCAAAAATTTTAACTATTTTATACTTAAAACCTATGATTAACGATTTCTACTCTACTTTTAATCTTTAAATTATTGCTATATTGATGGAGAATCCTTTGATTATCTTATATGTCTAAAATTTATATCTGAACTTGAATCCAAACTTTGAGAATAATTTAAATTACTGATCAATTTAGGATCTGATGTTTGTAATTCTTTAACTTTACTATTTAAATTCAAAAATTCACTTGATTTATCTAATGATATCATATCAGTATAGAATTCTTTTGTTTTATATTAAGAAGTTATTACATCATTATTCTTATAATTAGATATCCTCTTAACTGAAGTAACAATTACAGTTCCAATTTATATTATATTCTATGAATTAATTTTTGTTCCCATTCTAACCAATTTTCTAGTAGGTGTAATTGATTATCCTTTATTTTAATCATCCACTAAAATTGTAACTTTTGTTCCTAAATTCTTTCCTTGACTTTTAATTTATAATAACTATTTATTTGTATTAGTAGTACACAGCTTTGTTAATAATATGGATGATACTAAAAGCCCAAATCCATGCCAGCCTTTATTAAATATAAAATCAGATGTCTCCTAAAATTAACATAAAGTTCTCTAAATTCTTTCTAATTTTTCTTATTCAATTCCAATCCCCTAATCTTTTATAGATATTTTTAAAGTGTTCTAATCTACTGATTTAAATTTAACAGTAACATTACCACTATATGAGAACTTTAAAGAATTTGCTAAAATATTCACTATGATTTATATTAAGCGATTATAATCAGTATTAAAAGTTGAGAAATTATTTTTTAGCATTACTATTTGTAAACCCATATTCTTCATTTCAAACTACTATTAAAATAATCCACTAATTTCATTGATTAATTCTTTGAATGTAAAATCCTTTGTTTGGAGATACAATGAATTAGCATAATAGTTTGAAAAATCAATTATGTCATTTATAATGTATGATTATAATTTTAATGAGTTAAATGCTGGCATTAAATATTGATTTTTGATATAATTATCAATTTTTGATTCAGAGATTGCTGATTCTATTAAATTTTTAGCACTATTTAAAGGTGTTTTCATTTCATGAGAAAATGATTCTATAATTTTTGATTTGAAATCATTCTTGATTTTCTATTAAGATAATTCAGTCTATTTTGAAATATCATTTAAAAAAATAGTGATCTCTTAATTATCACTAATAATTTATCCACTTAAAGAAATAGGATTAGATTTCTATAACTTAAGAGTACAAGATATATCAAGAGCTTTGTTACTTGAAGCTTATATCATTGAATCATAAAATCCTTATTTATATTCTTTGATAATTTGTTCTAAAGTCTTTGTCTATATTGTTATAACCTACTTTGTAGACTCTAAATTTTTAAACTCTCTGCAAGATGGATCTCTTTGTTTATCTCTTAATCTTTTCATCTAAAGTGAAGCTGTTTTAAAGACTTCTGTACATTATTATGGTATCTAAAAATTTAGTTCGGATAAAATAATTTTTTATAATTCATCCTCAATATCACATTTAAACAATTTAATAAAGCATTAATTAATGTATTTAACACATAAATTAGAATAATCCAAAATAAGTACTTATACATTCATATCTTAAATTCTCTATCTCCAAATATTATCACTTGTTTTTGAATAATCTGGGATAGATTATAATTCATTTAGTTATGATTATAAATATTGATTTTAAATTTATACTTAATCATAGCATTGAATAAATTTTAAAATATCGATTCCTATTAAAACAAAAGAGCAAATAAAACTTATTGGATTAATCTAAATCAAGCAAACTGATAATATGAGACTTAATTTTCCAAGAATATTAGTAAGTAGAGCAATTTTAGCCTAGTATTGATCTGTTTTAATCTCTATCGGATAACACATCTAAATGGATAAGAATATACAATTAGGTAATTATATTATTGAAATTACAACTATTTGAAGTATTCTATTCACAAACATCATATTCAATATTATATTTGGAGTAATTTTATTCTTTATAAGATACTATAGACAGAATATGAAAATATCAAATATTATTTTCAAAATAATAACAATTAGGCTAGTCATTATTTCTGTCAATTCTTAAATTAGACTAATATTTAAGACTATTTGTATTGCTAATAGGAAAAGATTAGTCTATAGAAATATATCTTTAGTTGATGATTTCTTGTTCATGATGAATGATTTGTAATGAATCTATGAATATTATTAATATTAAAATTAATATTAATCAAATCAAAGTAAGGACAATTTATTGATATTATAATAGCAAAGTGTATAATAATTAAATTTTAACAGTAAAATCATTAATTTTTTTTCAAAAACATAAAGGTTTTGTTTTTATCAAATTAAAGTGAGAATTTCTTTAAATTCCTTTAGATTAAGTGGTTTATGTAACACATCGCTCATTCCTGCTTTTAAACAATTTTCAATATCATTTGAATTAGTAAATGCAGTTAAACCAACAATATGAATTTTAGGTATAATATTTTCATTCATCATCTTAATTAATTTCTCTGTAGCTTGACATCCATTAAGAATAGGCATCTAATAATCCATTAAGATGAGTGTTAATAATGTACATTTTTTACTACATTTTTTAATATTTAAAATATCAACACATGCTTATTGTCCATTAAAAGCCTAAGATAAAAAATAAAATTTTTTACCAAAATTACTTCAAATCCTAATTTACATAATAACATTTATATTGATTTTTAATTGAATATTTCATCATCAACAGACATAATTCTTTAACATTAACATTTTTTTCTTCTCTTATATGTTTAAAGTAATTCTTCATCTTCTTATTCTTCTGCTTATTTTATAAATTAAATGCTAAGTATTTTTGAATTATTAGATCTTTATGATGAATTTTCATTTTTACTAAAATGTCTTCTTTCAATTACTTTTTATGGTGGACTATTAATTATATCAGTAATTAAAGATGGTTAAACAGGATATAATAAACCAAATTTTTAATCTAATGAATCATATACAACACTTTCACTAAACATTGAATTATCATTTGATCTCTATGAACAAAGTTTAGTTTTTTATTATTTTGAAATATTTTTTATTCCTTAATCTGTTGTTTATATTATTGTACCATTTAAATTATTAAGTGATGAAGTTAAATGAACAGAACTTTAAAATCTTTATGTATTTTATCTAATTGTAGGTTATTTAACACTATTAAATTTTGTTTATAAATTCCTAATATAAAAAGATACTTTTGAACCCATATTGATTCCATCAGATTCAAATTTAATTGTACTCTTATCAGATGGTCCTAATTTAGAAACTAACATAGCTGAAATCAATAATCCAAATCCTTACCAAGTTTTATTTAATTATATCTCTTTTTGATTCTTCAAATTATTTAAATATGATTAAATCTATGTTATATTTATAGATGAAACACCTTATCCCATATCAGTAACTGTAAATTTCAAAATATCTTTAGTATGAGATTATATTTTCAAAACAATCAATCCTTCAGTTGAAAATTTTATAGAATTTTGTAATAAATTCACTAATATTTACATTAGTTTACTATAATCACTTGTTATTGTAGTTGTACAACAATCCATTAAATCTACTCTAAATTCAAGTTGTTTTTCAGTAAATTACATAGTAAATAATGAAGTAATTTCATTAATTAATTCTCTCATTGAAAATTCTTTAATTAATAATTCTAAATTATTTGTACTTGAAGATGTAAAATCNTGAGACTTAATTTTCCAAGAATATTAGTAAGTAGAGCAATTTTAGCCTAGTATTGATCTGTTTTAATCTCTATCGGATAACACATCTAAATGGATAAGAATATACAATTAGGTAATTATATTATTGAAATTACAACTATTTGAAGTATTCTATTCACAAACATCATATTCAATATTATATTTGGAGTAATTTTATTCTTTATAAGATACTATAGACAGAATATGAAAATATCAAATATTATTTTCAAAATAATAACAATTAGGCTAGTCATTATTTCTGTCAATTCTTAAATTAGACTAATATTTAAGACTATTTGTATTGCTAATAGGAAAAGATTAGTCTATAGAAATATATCTTTAGTTGATGATTTCTTGTTCATGATGAATGATTTGTAATGAATCTATGAATATTATTAATATTAAAATTAATATTAATCAAATCAAAGTAAGGACAATTTATTGATATTATAATAGCAAAGTGTATAATAATTAAATTTTAACAGTAAAATCATTAATTTTTTTTCAAAAACATAAAGGTTTTGTTTTTATCAAATTAAAGTGAGAATTTCTTTAAATTCCTTTAGATTAAGTGGTTTATGTAACACATCGCTCATTCCTGCTTTTAAACAATTTTCAATATCATTTGAATTAGTAAATGCAGTTAAACCAACAATATGAATTTTAGGTATAATATTTTCATTCATCATCTTAATTAATTTCTCTGTAGCTTGACATCCATTAAGAATAGGCATCTAATAATCCATTAAGATGAGTGTTAATAATGTACATTTTTTACTACATTTTTTAATATTTAAAATATCAACACATGCTTATTGTCCATTAAAAGCCTAAGATAAAAAATAAAATTTTTTACCAAAATTACTTCAAATCCTAATTTACATAATAACATTTATATTGATTTTTAATTGAATATTTCATCATCAACAGACATAATTCTTTAACATTAACATTTTTTTCTTCTCTTATATGTTTAAAGTAATTCTTCATCTTCTTATTCTTCTGCTTATTTTATAAATTAAATGCTAAGTATTTTTGAATTATTAGATCTTTATGATGAATTTTCATTTTTACTAAAATGTCTTCTTTCAATTACTTTTTATGGTGGACTATTAATTATATCAGTAATTAAAGATGGTTAAACAGGATATAATAAACCAAATTTTTAATCTAATGAATCATATACAACACTTTCACTAAACATTGAATTATCATTTGATCTCTATGAACAAAGTTTAGTTTTTTATTATTTTGAAATATTTTTTATTCCTTAATCTGTTGTTTATATTATTGTACCATTTAAATTATTAAGTGATGAAGTTAAATGAACAGAACTTTAAAATCTTTATGTATTTTATCTAATTGTAGGTTATTTAACACTATTAAATTTTGTTTATAAATTCCTAATATAAAAAGATACTTTTGAACCCATATTGATTCCATCAGATTCAAATTTAATTGTACTCTTATCAGATGGTCCTAATTTAGAAACTAACATAGCTGAAATCAATAATCCAAATCCTTACCAAGTTTTATTTAATTATATCTCTTTTTGATTCTTCAAATTATTTAAATATGATTAAATCTATGTTATATTTATAGATGAAACACCTTATCCCATATCAGTAACTGTAAATTTCAAAATATCTTTAGTATGAGATTATATTTTCAAAACAATCAATCCTTCAGTTGAAAATTTTATAGAATTTTGTAATAAATTCACTAATATTTACATTAGTTTACTATAATCACTTGTTATTGTAGTTGTACAACAATCCATTAAATCTACTCTAAATTCAAGTTGTTTTTCAGTAAATTACATAGTAAATAATGAAGTAATTTCATTAATTAATTCTCTCATTGAAAATTCTTTAATTAATAATTCTAAATTATTTGTACTTGAAGATGTAAAATCAATTATATCACTTATTAAATATGATTAAATTTTAAGAGAGTTTATTGCTGGAACTATATATTTATATTTAATTCTTTCTGAATCATCAGAATCTTATAAAAAAGCTGATAGAAAATTAATGGCTCCATTTAATGGGGTTCTTAATTCATGTGAAAATGATTCTAAAATCTAAAATATAAAAATGAATATATATATTTACTTTAGATTTGAATTCATCTTCTGATATTAATTATTATAATTCATTTTATTTGGATATATCATTTAATAAAAGTATTATTTCTTCATTTTATTAATTAGTTAAAATAGAACCAGATAATTAGAATTTCTTCTATAAAGTATGATTTGTATTAGCATTTTCTACAAGTCCTTAATAATTTTAATGACATAATAATTCTAATGAATTATTTATTATATATTCTTAAAAAAGACCTTCAGAAAGATTTGATATGATTTCAGCTAATGTAAATTTAAGTGTATTATGTTCTAAAGAATCAGCCTATCTTGAAGATATACATTATAATCCTGAAGATCCTGATATTGGTGCTGGTGTAGGACAATTTTGATTCTCTTATTAAAAGAAACGATTTTATTTGCTTCTTAGTCTTTAACGAATTTTTAAATACGAAAAGGATTGACAAATTTAATCTATATTATCTTAGACTAAATTAAATTATAGTTTACGGAGAAGAAGATCCTCAAATTCTTAATCATTTTCACAAAATAATGAAAAGAATTAATGTGCAGTTTTATTTTTGAAATTGATTTTTTAAGTTCTTGAATTTATCATTACAAATGATACAGGAATCATTTAAATTCTATTTTTCCATAAATTATCTTATTCTTATTAAGAAATTAAACTTTAAGCTAATGGTGTTTATTATTTTTAGCTATATTATTATATTTGTTTGACTTGAGATAATCTATTAAGTTCCAATAAAAATTAGAAGGATACAGAAATAATTGATATTAAATCGAAATTGATTATGATGATAAATAATGTAATTGCTCTAGTTGCAATTATTTCAAAGTATCTAAAGTATTTTTTATCAACTTCTTATACTTCAAAGGTATGTAATAACATAATTAAAGCACTTTTCAATTAAATGTCTAGTAATGCTATCATTAATAATGTAGAGAGCCTACTTATAAATATACATATTTTCTTAAATAGTAGAGTTTTATTAGTAAGTGCAATCATTTATGTTGTAACAGCAAAAATAGTATTTAGAATACAAACAGTAATTGTAAATATGAGTTATGAGTCATATTAAATGATCATGAGTGCGTTTATAGTTAATTAAAAACAAAAAAAAATGGCAATTGAATGATCTCTTTGGAAAATATTCCATATATTTTATTGTTTTGGAGAAAGCAAGTAAGTACCATTCATCTCTAATTATTTCATTTTCACTTTTTAAATAATTTATTCTTCTTTAATATAATCTTAATGAAAATAATAATAATATTATACATAGTTTATTCCATTTGGGGACACACATAAAATAGACTTACTCATCTTACAATTCTCAAAGTTAAATATATTGAATTTAGAATTATAGTATAAAAGATTATTATACATATGGTTAAATGAATAAAGAATGTGAAAAGTAATATATATTTATAATGATTCTTTATTATATTATAAACTATTTTATGGAGGTTGTTTTTATAAATTATATAAATATATAAATTCAATCCTAACTTACTTTCATTTATTAATTTCTCAAATAACGTCTTAATCTATTCTTCATTATCTACTATTTCTTATTCAAGTGATTCAAATTATGACTAATTAAAATGGTTTATAGAGTTTTGCAATTCATTTTGTAAGAATTTAGTATTGAAATATTAAAACTTATCTATTCAAATTAATAAGTATATTTTTGGATTACTTATGCTAAGGCATAATTCATATTACGCTATTAATTCTCTCAAGCTTATAATTGAATTAATCCAAAAATTCACTGGGCAAAAGCTAAATTTTTTAACCAAATATACATTTTTAATTCCACATTTTCTTCTAATTGAACACCACCCTTTTATTTAAAAATTTGCACATCCTCATTCAACATATTATTGGTATCCTTTATATCAGATCCATATACTATAAATATAGTTTATATTCCATTTTTATTTTTTAGCTATTCTAATTATATAGGAGTCAACGGGAACTCATAAACTCTTAGTTTCTATCATTATAAGTTTTTTTTTGTTAAATTTAACATGTATTTTTTTAATTACTAAATTTTACAACACTATTCCCTTTTTAACACATAGATGTTTAAATTCTAATTAGTTTGAGCTTTGGCTTTTCTTAAAATATTATATTTAGTTATCTACTAAAAGATTAGACATAACTAACTTGAATAGTTTCTTGTTTTAAAATTTACAAGAAAACATCTTTTTATAATAATTTTTGATTTTTCACCACAAATCTTAATTCATTTTTAGTAAATCCTAATCTCCTATTTGATGGTAAATCCAACATCTCAAAGAGGAAGCCAAAAAAATATTTGCCATTTTTAATTAAATAATTAATTAAAAAGTCTTTACTTTTAGCAAAAATATATTATTCTAGATATTTAATTTATTTCCATTCTATTTCACTATTAATGACAACATTTATTAATTTATGAAAAAATTTAGTGCTTAGAATTAATTTTTCATAATTATTACATGCTTAAAATCTTATTCAGTTTCATTATTATTTAAACAAGAACCTCTAACTTATCAACGATTTAATATAATCAAACGATTTCATTGTTTAATACAACCTTTCAAAAATAAAAGGATACAAATTTAAAATTTAAAATTTGATTTATCAATGCTATTAATACTATAAATCATTTAGTTATGCATTAATTATAATGGTTTATAGTTTTTGAAATTCATTTCTTAGTAATAGTCTTTAAAAATATCAAAACAAAAGTTTGTGGAAATTTTGTAACATTATTGAATTATGTTAAAAATATATTTAAAAAAAATTAATTAAAGCATTCATAATGAAAAAATAAAATTAAGTAAATGATCATAAAATGAGAAGCCATAATGTAAGTATTTAATTTTTAAAATAATCAAGAATATTTCATAAATTATCAAATTTCTTATAGTTAATTTTTAAATTCATAATTTATTCTTTATTTGAATATAATAATTTGTTTAAAACACAAGATGGAATTCAATTACAATAGAGATATAAAATATTAATATAAATTATTAATAAAATACATAAATTAATATTTATTTTAGAATAGTAGATTTACATAATCAAAAAGAGATATGAATAAATCAATTATGAATTATATATTGAAAATTAGTGAATTTCAAATCAATAAAGATGGATCAACAACACATTGTTTCCTCATATCTTTGTTAATCTTGATTTGGAGCTTAATTTAGCTTGTTGAAAGCACCATTTTATTATTAAGGGAGTTTTTCTAATTATTCTTTAATTGTTTTGGCAATTTATTAAAAGGTATCATTAATGTTGGTTCCATCCTTTGCACTAGTTTCAAAGTAAGGTATATTGTATTTTTAAGCCATTTTAAGAGCTTATTCATAGGTAATGCATCTATCTGGAAGATCTGTTTTGTTTCCTAAGAATAATAATAATATTATAAATTCACCTATTAATACTTTAATGATATTGTCACTTGCATGTTATTTAATTTGATTCATCCATTTATCAATATCATTAAAAGTTTCTTTGTCATTAACTGCAAAAACAAGTATAATTCCCATTGCTCCCTTATAATATGTTTAAGTGATAGTTTAATAACGTTCTTATCCTGCAGTGTCCCAAATTTACATCTTAACAACTTTTTCATCTACTTATATTTTTTTAATCTTAAAATCGATTCCTAATAGATTGTAAAGAGTAGAAAATACCTATTGTACTAAGAAATGATGTTTTAAATTGATTTTCTGTATATCTCAATAAAATTTGAGTTTTTCCAACTCCAGAATTTCCAATTAGTAAAATTTTGATCAATAAATCATATGTATCCTTTGCCTTTTTTACAAGTGATGACATTGTTAATTTTAATAATATAAATGTTTTGAATATTAAATTAACTTCTATAATTTACAATTTAAAATAGTACAAATATAATAATTGATATCAGATATTAAGTCGATTAAAAGTGTCAATCAACAACTCTTTTGTAGCAGGTTTAATAAGAACACTATTAAATCCTTCATTTATACTCTTCTATTAATCTTTAATACTACAGAAACCAGTAACAGCAATAACAGGAATAGTTCTAGTAAGATGTATCTCATTTTCTATTTATCGTATTCTTTATACAGTTTCCCATCCATTCATTATTGGCATATTGATATCCATTAATATACAATTATATCCAATACAATATGATGGATTGCATCTCTTATCCAATTGATTTTGAACCTTTTCAATTGCTTACTTTCCATTAAAAGCAAAATCTATTTCAAATCCCAATTATTTTACCATATGTGAAAGTACTTAAATATTAAATTCTTCATCATCAACAATAAGAATTATTTTACAATTACATTCATTTAATACTATATCAAGCTGAATCTCTGATTAACCCTATTTCTCTGTAATCTGAATATTATTACATTTATTGTAATTCATCACACGTACTTATTATGTACTTTAAGCATCTACATTTGGTATTGTTTGATTATTTGATTTTTATAAAAAATTTGAATTTTGATTAGATTCTTCATTATATTTTAGTAAGAAATTAAATTAAGTTCCTTCATCTTTTGTTGATTCAACAGAAAGATAATTTTAACTTTTTGGAGACATCAATTTTATAATTTGTTTACTGACAGACAAACCTATACCGATTCCAACAGAATGTTTAGATACCTTTTCATCTTCATCAGTTAGATGTAACTACTCTAAATTAAAAGGAATACCTTCTTTCTTAAAATGCTTAATTCATTCTCTGTCATTCCTATTCCTGTGTCATTTATTTACACTTCAAGAAAATGATTATCCTAAAAATTAGCAGAATTTAAATCTATTCCTTCCATTGATTCTATATATTCTTATTTTTAAACTATGATAGTTATACCACCTTTGTAAGTGAATCTAATTGAATTACCAATCAAATTTAATAACACTTAACATAATCTTTATCTATCTCCACTAATAATATATGAAGTTTTAGGTAATTCTACATTTATTATTAATGATTTTCTTTCAATTTAATTTCTAAACAAATCTACACATTCTAAAATAACAGTATTTATTTCAAATTTATCTTATTTCAATTAAAAACAATCTTCTAAAATATCTCTATAATCAAAGAAATCATATATCTTATATTATTATAATTTTGTGTAACTTAATGCTTATTCCAATTAGATATGACAAGATTCTTATTTTAATAATTTATCTTAACTTTATTTGATAAACCCATAAACAGCATTGAGATTAGTAAGTAATTCATGTGAAATAGATCTTAATAGATTCTTTTTAATTGATTCTAATTTTTTTAATTTTGTTTTTAATAATACTTAATTGACTTCATGAATGAAATATATTTACAATTCATCATCATTATCAAATATTCTACAATTTTCTAATACATTAATTAAGAATTTCATTTTTTAAACATATACTGGTTTTGTTTTATTTAAGAAATTAACTTCTTAATCAAGTAAAGATTACTTATGACCTGAATTCTTATATTCTTTGCTATTCAATAAAAAATCAGCTGATATTTTTCTACTTGAAACCATATAATTAGGTTATTTTTATGTTTTATTAGGTAGATTAGATTTTTTGCGTTGACTCTTCTTACCAGCAGATTATAAAGGAAATTAAAGTGGATTATTAACTTCAATTCTAATTGTTACATCAGATGTAAATGTTTTTTATATAATGGATTCATCCTAAGGATTTTTAAATGATTAGAAAAACTTTTAAAATTGTACATGATTTTTAGGACGATCTGTTGGAATCTCAAGAGATAAGGCTTTAGAATATTATATTGAATTCTTATCTTTACTATAAGTCACATTCTTAATTTTATACTGATCATCAAGATACAAATCATCATCATCAAAATCAAATTAAACAGCATTTTAATTATTATTTAATTCATCTAATTGTAAATTTTATAAGAAAGTTAATTAATTTTTAGTAAAATTGATAGCGCCTGATTTTTCTGGAGATTGATCAGTTTCAGATTGATTTGTACTCTCTAATTTATTAGCTAAATTATCGAATACTTTATTAGAATATAGTAGCCAATTTTTATCTTTATGTGCAATACACATAGCTTAAGGTGTAGAATCAATTATTAAAAATAATGCCTATAAATTAAGGAAATGCTACATTTATTAGAGCTCTTTTCTTATAATTTACATAAATAAGAGTGTGATAGTCAAATATAATCCTTCATAAGATTATAGATCTGCGAAATACATAGTTTAAATTAAATATATTATTATAGCTATTACTTTCTATAATATTGTAGAATACATGCTTTAGAAAATTACACAAATGGCTGTGTAAAATATTAAGTAACTTTCATTTATAATAAAGTAACAAAGGATACTTAAGCATTCCTGTTATATTAAAGGTACAAGTTATAATAAATATGATTCTTTATATATGATCCCTGGAAGACATAAAAATATGATTAAATGAACCAAAATCTATAGTCCCAAAATGATCCATAATATTAAGTTATTAGCAACAATTGATAATTTAATGATGATAAATATTATTTACATTATTAATAATGGTCTAAATGAAAGATCTGCCCATTAAGTATAGTTATGCCATTTCCATTATTAATATTATTAGTTTTAAAAGGTCTTTAGATATTTAAGTATTGTCTTATAAAGAGTTTAACATTTTAGCATTGAACTATTAAATAAAATATTTATAATAGTTTATATAATCAGATGATGTGATAATATAATAATATCTTTAAATTAATTTAATCTCTCACTTATTTTTTAGAATCCTCAAACTTATAACAAAAAATGAAAGAAGAAGACAATAGTATAATTAAATAAGTAAATTCAATAAATAATAAATTAGGAAGAACATTAATCGTATATTCAACATTACATGATTCCATTAAACTATGCCTCTATACCTAACCAAATAGAACATTACTAATCCACACTATAACTCTTAACAGAAGAGAATCACCATCTGCGCAAATTACTCAACCTTAATCAATAACACTAAATAATCTAATTAACTAAAGAATAACTACATGAGGAAGTCTATAAAATGATCGATTTCCTTATGAAAAATCTTAACTATCAACCCAAAGAATAGATCTTTGCTTATTAAAAAACTTTTCGTTATTGGGCCTAAAAAAAGGCACTTAAATCTATTTTCTTCTAGATCTTCACCAGATACTTACAAGTATATTAATAGTATCATTTCATGTATAGGCTGTGAAGACAAGAGAAGAAATGATAAAATTTATTATTCGTAAAAGTATGAAGTACCAAAAGTAATCTTAAAATAAGGAATAAATAAAAGAAAAAAAAGAAATCAAAAAAATGAATAATGCATTCGTTAAGCAATTATTCCAAAATACTACCTATTAATAAAATTATTCTAATTTTCTAAGTATTAATATTACATCCGATTTAATAGATTAATATCTCTAATTGGCATTAAATGAGAATTAATAAAAGATTAAGAAATATGTAGTATATATTGTGCAGTTGATATTATCTGATTAAATTAATGTAATAATCATAATTAATACTCTTATAGCAAGTGCTAAACTATAAGAGATTCCCTTGGCTTAATGATTGGATTAATTAATCAGTTCAAATAGCTTAAGAATTAGAAAATCCTTAAAACAAAGAAACTAAAAAAGAAAAATCTGATTACTCCCTAACGAAATGATAAAATTATAATTTTGTATTAGTTTATCAAATTTAATCAAAATAATCATTTTTTATATTTTAAATAAGATTATTGAATAATTATTATCATTATTGATTTTATGAGATTCCTTTATAACTTTTATAAAAAATCTCATTAATTTACTATTGAGAAGACAATAAACAAATAAATAAACTGATTCAATTATTTTTACTTTCTAAATAATGATTTATAATAATGTATATAGTACTTGATTCTAAATTCTTTCAATTTCATAAACCTTAAAAATTATAAATTAGATATCTTTTATAATTTTATATTCATTTAAAAAAGAAACTATATAAAGAGAAGGACATTTTATACTACATTACCTATTAAGTTTAAGTAAAATAACAACATACTCATGCTAACTGTGTTAATTAGATATAAAATAATAGTTTATGAGAATTTTATCAAAAAAATACTAGTTATCATCAGATATCTCATAAATAAAAGAGGATATTCTTAATTTCACACTTCTTTTTAAATTAATTTCTCAACTTTATTTACAAATTATTTAGTAAATCTTCTAAAAAACTATAAACATAGATACCAATATTAAGATTAATACATAAAATGATTTGTTTAATTTTTTTCTATATTATTTTGCAACCTGAAAATTACTTGCAAATTAAGAATAAGTTTAATAAAAAATATAATAAGATGATATATAAAGATGTATAGATAGAAAGATGGAAATTGTTTTATGTTGATTTTATTATTAAAATTAAAATGGGAAGTATTTGTAAATAATAAAGTCAATAATAAATTGAAATTCAAAACGAAGTTAAGTTTTCTAAAGGCTCAGAGAAAAAAGACTTAGTAAAACGAAATACTGAAACTTCTGGAGGAACTTAATAATATAATTAAAATAGTACTAAGCAATTTTCGGTTAAGAAAGATCCTTTGTCTAGTTATATGAATGTAAGTTTAAGTGATTCTGACTCTGATTCTTAAGAAAGCAAACCTAATCAATAAGTTTTCACTAATTTTGTAACGTTTTAAGCTCTTCCTTCATAAAAATAAATGATACCCAAATTTGAAGTTTTAAAGGATTAGTTTAAAAATGAAATGCTTTAATAAATGAATTTATAACATCAGAAAAAACAATTTTGAATGATTTATAATCATATCTTACTTAATATATATATTTATAATTTTATATTCATTTTATAAATACTTAATGATAAAAATAAACTTTAAGTAATATATAAATATGATAATAATCACAAAAACTCAAGATATCCTTATCTATGAATTGGAATTGAAGATTAATTCAATTGAGAAATCCATTCAATAGTTTCTCTATCACTTTCAATATAATATGCATTAACATTCATTGCAAATTTCTTAGCCTTTTCATGATTTTTATTTGAATTTGCAATATTAAATAAAACTAAATTTATATCTTCTCTTTAAGTTTATCTTTTAATATTTTCTAATAAATCTTAATCTATATTTGTTGAAAACTCAGAAAATACACAAACAAAACTTTATATTATTTCTTTATAATCTTATTTTTATTAAAAATATTTTGGTATTGTAATTGATTGATATGTTTATCTTATTTCATTATATTAGGATTATGTATTTAATTTATTATTTAATAATTCATGAAGACATTAAATGACTTTACATTCACCACCTTTTAATATTTAAAATCTCTCAAATTATTTCAAAAGAAATTTTGTATATTATTTAGATTCTGATGCTGATAACATTTCATATATTCCATCATTAAATATATATAAACCTACTTCTCTTAAATGTATTAATTTTTACATTATATATGAACATATAGAATGTGATACTTATATTTATTCCAAAGATACTTTTGATGAATAATCAATTAAAAAAAAAAACTTAAACTATTTAGAATTTATATCTAAGTACAATTTTTATAATACATTCTAATTAAGATCCAATTAGATAAAGATACTTTATAAAGTCTTATATGCAAAAGAATTCAATCTATAAATGTTCTAACTATTTCTTTTTATAATCTTTATACATTTTTCACTCGCTAATTAATATTCTTAATTTTTCATTAATACACAAATTTTTAATTTTCTAATCGCATTTTAAATTAATTCATTTGATATTAATTAAAATATATCAAATCCATTTAATATTAATTTTGATTTTTCAGTAATTACATATTATTAATACAATATTTTTATTGTATACAATTCTAATTTAGCCTTATCAATCAAATTTAATTTTTAAAAACAACAAAACTTCATTACAAGTAATTAAATTTTAATTCCTATTATTGATTTAATATCAGAAAACTTTTTCCTTGAAATCTCTTCATATAATTCACTTAATGAACGAATAGCTTCATTAATTAAACTAGGTTATTCTTTAAGACAAAATTTATATAACATTCTGCAAAATGTATATTTCCTAAATAATATGGTTAATTTATAAAATCTCTTTTCCTCATTGTATCTATCTTATTATAAAGCCAATTCTTAAAGTGAAATCATCTTATCCAAAGAATTCTCACTTTTTAAATAATTAGTCAAAGCCAATCTCTCAGATATCTATATTTATTAGACATCAGATTATTTATATGAATTTTACACCTTAATTGAATAAAATCGATTCTTATTTAAATGTTCTGAATGTAATATATTTGTACTCCCAGCAAATTTATTAATCACAAAACGTCTTAATTTCTATTTTAATTAATATAGTATTGTTTTCTAACTATTTAATAATTATTTTCTTATTTTCTCAATCTACTTTATACTAGAATATTCTTCAAATCCTAAAATTACAGATTTCGCTTAAAATTTAAGTGCTTCAATAAATCTCTTATTTTTAAAATGAACTTATGCAATATTATTTGCACAAATACTTACTTACCAATTATTTTTATTATATTTGTAAACTTCACTAATCTAAGACAATGTCATCAGATACAATGATCCTTAATCTTGATCAGAATAGAAATGCTATTTTTTTAATAGTTAATAATAATAGATGTAAACTTATAAACTTTCCTAAAGATGATTGATTTCTTTACAATTTTACTAATATGATCTTAATGGCATTGAATCAAAATGATATTTTAATGGATTTTGTAATTGTCTTGCTAATTTTTAAAGTGGAATACAAAAAGAATTACTAACTCTAATAGAAATTGCCCATACATATAATAAAAATGTCAAACTCACCAAACTTTGTGCTAAAATCAAAGATAAATTATGATTTTATTAATTTTATAAAGAACCTGCTAATTATTTGAATTTTTCAATATCAAAAATCTTTAGTTATAATATTTCAGATATGTATTATTTTTCACATTTTATATGTTATTTTTATAAGGAATAAAACCAACCATATATGAAATATTTTTATAGATAATACTAAATTAAAGTATTTTATAGTAAACAATCATTTTCATCAAAATTTTATTAAATTAATATTTATTCCATAAATTATCCATAATATTCTTCTAATTTTTTCTATTCAATTAGTAAGAATTAATTTTAAGTGAATTAATAAAATTATTTATTAATCATAAAATAATTCAATTGATTTTGTTATAATTCATAATTAGCATATTTATATGCTTTATCAATTAAATTTGAAATAGATTCAAATATTTATATATTACAGTCATTATTAATATCATAGTGTATAATGAATCGAAAGTAATTCTAATATAAATCAACAAAAACTTAATTTGTTGAATTCCAAGATTCAAATTAACTTTCTATTTGTTAAATTGAGTATTCAAATGAATCCTTACATATGATTTTAAAGTTTTCAATTGAACCCCTACTAATTAAAGGATGTAAAAACACTTTAATTTGTTCCAAGTTTTGATAGAGTGATAATTAATACTTAGACATCATTAAATCTTAGAGAATAAAGGCTGCATTGACTTTGATACCTAAATTTATAGTTTCTAATTGATGACGGAATCTTAGTGTAGTTTAAGTTGTTTCATTATAGATTGCAAATGATAATTGTTCAGCTTGATTAGAGAAGTTTGTAATAAATATTACATTTAAAGTTATTATTTGTAGTAAAGCAATAAAACCCACAGGTACAAACAATATTAAAATGCTCAACTTAAGTTTTACCTAAAAATTCATATTAAAATAAAAGTTATAATGATTCTTTAGATGATTATATTTACTATTTATATTTAAATCAAAAAAATATTAATCTAAAACCAAAGAGAACAATATAATTCTAATTTCACATATTGGCTTTGTTTATAAAAATAATATAAATTAAATATTATAATTTCAGAATGTCTTCCAGACCCGATTTTGCTCCTATTATATAACAATGGTGGAAGAACTTAGGATTTGGTTAATAGTTTATACTATTCTTATAAATCACAGTCAGATTTACTGATAGTTTTTTTGTTCCCTTATTGTATAAATTGTACAATTAAACTCAATTAGTTTAGAATGGAGATTATTGGAGATTATTCACAGCTCCTTTATTTTCAGGTAAATTAAACTTATTAAAATATTAGTGAGTTATATTCAAATTATTATTAATTGGATGTTGTTTTAGTTAATTGTAAATCCTTATGAAACTACTGTGGGAAGCACATATTTCATATTTGATTTTTTTTTTAAGAGTTTTGTATTAGAATCTATAAATTTTCTGGTCAACTTTGGATTGAGTTAATATGATATTAACTATCAATATACTTTGAGTTATGGTATCAGTGGATTAACAATTTATTATTTATGCAGCAAGTATCAATACTTTCATTATATTAAGATTGCTTGCTTCTCCATATAGTAAAAGCAATTTCTACTTATTTTAAATAACTAACTATAACTTATTAGTCACAATCCCATTAGTTACATTTTTATACACATAAAAATTAATTTTTATATTTGCATTTTAGATTGCTATATTTGAATGGTTTTTCTTTGATGGAATGCTAATACGATTATCTAATGTAAAATTTTATTATATTATAAATAGAATTCTATAGAGAAATTATCATAGATTTTTGGTTAATTTAAAAAATATAATTCTTATAAATAGCCATCTTAAAGTCTATAAGAACCTAAGTTATTTGTAGAATCTGCAAAGATTTAAGAAGGTATTTAAAAAGAAGCAGTTTAAGAATTTGGAGGTAGAGGAATAACTATAGGTACAGATTAGGAAGTAGAAAGATAATGGAGAGCTTAAGGTTAAAATAATTATTAATAAATATGAATAGTTGATTCATTTATTATTTTTCATATATTTCATATGGATTTTTTTATGGAAACTATGTAATTCAACTGAAACTTCAACTTAAATGTAATCAAAAATTCTGTGACGAATACCTTATATTATAATGTTCATTCTGTCTATAATTTGAGCTTCAATAGTTCCTTCCAATCCATATCTAGGGATCATGACAGTTACTTTATCTGCCAAAATACCAGTAATGATAGCTTAATCAATTTATTGAGGTCTATTTTTAAAGAATAGATATGTATGATAATCAGATGAAGCTCTACTAGCAAATCTTGCCATTCTATGTCTCATATTTAATTTATCACAAATTCTTGTCATTCTAATTTTATTTGACATAGATGGTGGTAGAGATTCTAAATCAATAGATGCAGCCAATAATCTATGAACAAGTACATCAGCATATCTTCTAATTGGTGATGTAAAATGAGTATAGAGTTCAGCAGCTAAACCATAATGATATAATTCTGGATAATCAACATCTGCAGTACATACATATAAAGCCTATAAAAAATAACAATATTCAAATTACTTCATTCATACATCTAGTTGTAATCATACGAATAAGTTTGTTAAAGAATGTATCATTTGGTCTTTAAATTTGATCTAATGATTCACTAAGTAATTTTGAGGTATCATATGAAAATTGATATCCTAAAATATTGATATATTAAATAATTAACCTAAATCATTCATTAATATTTGTAGTTCTTTTAATTATTTCATTTTAGGTTCTTGATGTCTACGAAGAACTGAAATAGATGGAAATCTTTATAAGATTTAACTAGCAACAGAACAATTAGCTAAAAGCATGAATTCTTCAACAAGTGAATTAGTGTCATATAATTAATACATTCTAACATCACTAGGATTATGAGTTTCATCATCAAATGAAAACTTAACTTAATTACTAGCTAATGATAATGCTCCTTAATCTAATCTAAGTTATTTCAATTTCTTAGCTAACATATTCAATAGTCTTATGCTTTAAGTTAATTAACTATTATCATTTGGATTATCAATCATTTCCTAAGCTTATTAATAATGTAATGAAGCAATAGATCTTATAACACTCTTACCAAATTTAACATCTTTTATATTTGCTTAATCATCCATTATCCAAATTACTGAAAATGCCAATCTATCAACATTACTAACTAATGAACATAGATTTTCAGTCAATAATTTTGGCAACATGTCTGTTCTTCTATCTACTAAATATACAGTTGTGCATCTATGAGCAGCTTCTTTATCAATTGCAGTATCTGGTCTTACAAAATGAGAAACATCTGCTATATGTACACCTACTTCATATAAATTATTCTCTAATCTTCTACAATGTAATGTATCATCAATATCTTTACATCCAACTGGATCTATTGAACATACTAAAATATCTCTTAAATCCATTCTTCTTTTAATCTCTTACTCTGATATTTTATATTTATCCTATTATTATTATTAATAAAATCATACTCCTTCTATAGGTAAACATGCCAATACTTAATGTGAAAATTCTCTTATTTCTACTTGATGTTCTAATAAAATTACATTTCCTTCAATATACATATCTCCTGCCTTACCCAATACTTTTTTTAATTTACATAATGGTTTATCACTCCAAATAGGCCAATCTACAAATTAAACTTGAATTTTCTTATCCTAAAGAGTATCATATTTTGAATGTTTTAAAATGAAATTTGGATATCTACCATCAGCAGGTACAAATATATTATTCTCTACATGACCACAAAAATGTCTCTCTGTTCTTTACAACACACATACAACCTTTCCATAAGGAATTAAATTTTGTGCTTACACCTTTCTGAATAAACTTTATAAATGATTTGTAGACATTATTTCATGACTTGTATCATTTGTATGAGTATTATTATTACCATCATCTTCATCCTCTTCATCAAATGTTATTTATATTTACTTTTATTATTACTCCCATTAATCTTCTGGTAATAATTCAACAGCCACTCTATCTCCATGTAGTACTCTATTTTATTAATTTATTTTTATTTCCAATTAAAATTGTTTTACAAATATCCTAGCTTATTTTATATTGTTTCTATCTATTGATATTCTTCCCTCAAATAATAATCCTTATTTTATTTGCTAAACACATTCTTCTACTTAAATATAAGGGAATTAATTATTGATAGGTTATTAATCTTATTCATATTCCTCATCCATTCCCAAAAAATCAAGTAAATCATTATTCTCATATAATTTTACATAATCCTATATTGTAAAGCATTTTATATTTAAGTTCTTACTCTATTGATGCATCTAATAATTTTAAGTCAACAAACACAAATCTAATTCAACCTTTAAAAATTATCTATGTTCATTGTACCATTTAGCCAATAATATTAATGGATTACCATTTTGTGTATGTATTGAAAATTCATCTTAATAAACATAAATTTTCTTTTAAAAATTTGATTCAATTAAATTTATTACTTATTATGCATACTATGATTATTACTATCTTTTTCTAAAATGAGCCACTTATGATTGTAATATCACAATATTATTAATATTTGATTATTCAATTAGATCTATATATTATTCCAAAATCTCATTATCTAACAAAAATATAGGATTCTCTAATTAAATCTCAGATTCTTGAGTACAAAATGCACATCCTCTAATCTGACATGGTATATCACTAGATAGATATACTTCTTTAGCTTAAATCATAACCTATAATCTCTTATTTAATCGTGGTTATGAATTTAATTACACTTTCATTAATATAATTAATACATGTATTACCTATTATTCTTAATTCCAATTGCCTTTTCAAGTATAAGCCCAGCAGATTATATTTCATAATCTGATCGTCCAAAGATTGCAGCTCATAGAGGACTCTGCTCAATCTTTCCAGGTTCTATCATTTCAATAATTCATTAGAGAACACCGCCCAATCATTTGAAGGTGCAATGTTTTAAGGAACAGACTTTATTGAATTAGATGTTGTACTCAATAAGGAATTACAATGTATTTTATTAAAAGATTAATCCATCTAATAGTAATTGTAGCACATGATACATTTATGTCTTCTGTTTCTAATATTAAATCAATGCCAGAATTTACATCTAGAAAAAGGAAAAGAACAATAAATGGACTTGTAAGAGATGATTGGTGGTTGATTGATTTCACTCTTGATGAATTAAAAAGAGTTGGAATCAATTAAGTCAGAGGTTCTACAAGACCTAAAATGTTTGATGGTCTTTTTACATATCCAACCTTATGGGAAGTTTTAACATAAGTAAGGGATTTCAATAATCGTACTGCTAATCAAAGAAATCCAAACAAAAAACCAGTTGGCATACTTTTAGAAATAAAAGATTACGAAGTATACATTTTATCATATGACGTAGTATCATTTAGAATACGCAGGAATATCAATTGTTGAATAAGTAATTAATGAATTATAAAACTTTGGTATTGGAACCATAAAAGATTGTAAAAATGTTGTCCCAATTGTCATTATGAGTTTTGATATGAATGCTATTAAGGCAACAAGAGAATTAACAGATCTTCCAAGAGTATTCTTAATGACTGGATTACAAAATCAACCATCAACATTTTATGCTGAAGCAACAAAATATGCTAACATAATTGGAGCTGATTTAGCCTCAGTATGGAATCAAAAGACATAAACAACATAACCAGAAGTTTAACTCATTAAAAATAATTAAATGATGGTTTATGCTTGGACATTCTAAGATGATGCTAGTGGAACCCAAAACATGTTCAATTCAACAATTGCCAAAGACATTTATTATCAAGCAGTGAAAATGAATATTCATGGCCTGATTACGGAATTTTCAGACGTAGCAATTTAGTATGTTTAATTATATTAAAATTAATGAAAAATTATGAAAAATAATCAATAAGAACCTCACAAAATTTGATAAAATTGCAAAATGGAGTAGTTTCATAATATACTTATTAACTGGATTCGTGTTATTGAGGATTTCCTTTTTTTTCCTTTAATTGTTTTTTACCTAATCCCTATCAGTTTGCGTTACTATTTTCAACAGAATCATTTTTGATATTAATAGCCTTATTTTCTATGATTAGATTTAAGGTTATCTATAATCTAAATGCATCTGTGATTAACTTTATAGCATAATTAAGTGGTATATATTCATGTAATTTATCAAATTGGATATTGGACTGCATTAATAATAAATTTTGTTCAAATTTCATCTTCCTTTCAATTTAACTTTTTAATTTTATCTGAAGTTTTTGGAAGAATCAAAAATTTTGCACACCTCAAAAAAATACATGATTATTAAAAAATTATCATATTTTATATTAAATTTTAAAATAATCATCTACTTTTATTCTTTAAAAAATTATCCACAATTTTACTAAAATTCAAATAAATATTGTCTCTCAAGATTTAAATATTATTTAATACTTAAAATCTTAGGTATTTGCAATTTTAGAAGGTTAAAACACTGTATAGTAAAATATTAATTTATGATTTTTAATAGATTTTAGTTAGAAATTACAATCTTCAGTATCATACTCTATACTCAAAGTTATTATCATAGGATTCAAATGTTTAATTGGAGTATGGACAGAAAACAAGAATGGAGATGGAATGTTTTATGAGAAGGATTGAATAGTCGTTATTTAAATGATAAGGTTTTATTATTTAAGCATAATTAGTAATGAAAATATATTTAAAGTATTAAAGGCTGCCAGTATCATAAATTTATCTTTAATTATTAATTTTTAATAATGAGTCAAGTTTTTTTAGAAATATATTTGAAATTATAATTGATATCTTATGAAATAGTTTTTTATTATGAGGAATTTAATTCTAAATGTAAAAATTTTATCATTTATTTTATTTCTTAAAATAGTGATGTTTAATTATAATAAATGCACTAAATTACGCCTATGATCATACTGCAAAGTGTAGCCAGTGATATCAATGAGCAAATATTTCAATATATTACCAATATAATAATTACTTTTATCTGAAAAATTACTAGAATTATTATACATATCAATTTCAGATCATAATAATCAATCTATTTATTAATTTAAAATTGAGCTTATAATTTCTGGAATAGTGAAAATTCTGAAGAAAATGGAGAGATTATTACAAACCAATTATGTAATAATTTTTAATAAATTCATTTGGTTATGTAGAAAATATCAAAATATGAAAAAATAGTTTACCATGATTGAATTATCTGTATTAATATTGATTTGAATGTATTTTTCATTGAGAATATTAAGATTTTTCATTCTACTCACACATGAAATTATATGAATTTATGAGAAAAAAACATTGATTTATCGAGGTGTTATTTAATATTTGAAAAAGTATTTCAATTTTTATTTATTTGATCTATTTTTATTGAAATACTTGAATTAATATTTGAAAAATTGATTTGCGTGATCAAAATTTCTATATTGATGTTGGAAAAAGAATGGCAAATTAAATAAAGTGAATGATATTTATTTCTCATAAATCATGTGGTTAGAGATCATCTGCATAATCATCAATATCTTCAACATCATCTTCTTCCTCTTCTTCGTCTTCTTTGATCTCAATAGGATTAGCATCAGAATTAAATATTTATTCTTTAACTTTCTCATCATAAGCAGCTTATCTTTAAATTAAAGATTCTTCATCAAGAATTTGTTTAGGTTTTTCCCATGCTGCATTAGGTGTTCGAACTAATCGAATGCTTAAACTCATATTTTAGATGTTTAAATAATTAACTGATTTTCACAAAAATAATTAATCAATATTTTTCAAAAATTAAAATGCAAGTCTCATTTTTATTCTAATCTTTGGCTAATATCATTTTTAATTTAGATTGATATTGCATTTTGATATATCTGATCATTATGATAAAAAAATGAATAATTTGGAAGGATTCTTGAGAAATCATGAACTTATGAAAGATATTATATAATAACCAAGTTATTAGAAGATAGATTTAAATAATAGTTTATTTAATAGTAATCATAAGAAAAAGAAATAAATATATCTAAAATTTAATTTAAATTCTTAAGAATGACTATTCATTGGAAAATCAGATAATTTTCATTATAGTTTTAACGGAGACAGCAAAATAAATTTAAGTTCAACTCTTATGAATACTTTTAGTGCCATAAGATTAATATATATTAATTTACTTATTTCAGACAATTTTAGATTTATTATATGATCTTAATAAATACTATCTTAGAACAATTTTCAACATAACTTATTAAATTGTAGATTCCTTTTCTTTTTTGGTATAAAATCAAATTATATAAACTAAATTAGGATGTCTTAATGCTTTAGTAAAAATAAAATAATAATAAATGTATAATGAAAGACTTAAAATGTCTGAAAAAAAACTATTTGATTGAATTTTGAGCTGTTTTCTTTTTCCATAGATTAATGAGCTGTGGTAGAATAATTCTTATATACATATTGTGCTTAAATTTACATTTAATAAAAATATTAGAAAGATATTTAAAAAAAAACTTTTTAAACCTATCAAACATTATTTCTAGTATCTTTAATTAATTTTTGAATTAATTTACGGATTGATAAATTTAAATAAGTTAATATAAATACATAACATAAAAAAATTTTCAACATCTTGTTTAGTTTTTAAATATCCTTATCTTAATTACCATATCAACAGAATTTAAACTTATTATTAGTTATATTACTATCTAAAATAAAAAAGATATTCATTATTCAATAATTTTGATTTACATATTTATGTTGAAACAGAAAGATAATTAGATTATCTAAAATCTTTAGACTAGATTTCGTGATTTTTAAGGAATCTGTTGAAATTGACTTGATTTACTCTTTTTTGATTAAAGATATTATATAGTTGTTAATATATTTGTTATGATAAAAATATATATATAAATATATCCCAATCTGAATATAAATATTTAAAATATGAAAATAATTATTAAAACATTAAGTGGATAAAATTTCCCTTTAGATGTAGAAGGAACGGACACAGTATTTTATATATCTAATTAATTTAGATTTAAGTTGTTAAAGAAAAAATCTTTTAATTGAAATAATTTGAAGTTGGACAACAAAAATTACTAAGAAAAGGAACACTTTTGGATGATAAAACAACTATTATGGAATTGGGAATTTAAGAAAATGAATTTTTAGTAGTCATGATTAATGCCAAAGTAATTACTTATTATTACAATATTTATAGAAATCTGCACCATAGCCAGCTTAGCAACCACCTTAATAATAGCCAGCTCAATAATAGCCTGCTTAATTACCTGCTTAATAATTACCACCATAATAATAACCTTAACCTTAAGGGGCTTCAATTCCAAAACCAGCATCATCGACTGGAACAGATTTGTAAACTGGACCAGAATATGAAAAAGCAATTGCAGAGTTAATGTCTATGGGATTTTAAAGAGAAGAATGTGTCAATGCAATGAAAGCTGCTTTTAATAATCCTGATAGAGCAGTTGATTACTTATTAAATGTAATAATAACCACTATAATTAGGGAATTCCTCCTGGTGTTTCATCAAATCCAGCACCTTAAGTTGCTACTGGATAAGGATAAATACCCCCTGGATTACCATTTGCTTAGCTAGCTTAATAATTTAGATAAATATTTTAATAGAATCCTCAAACTGCTATTTAATTATTACCTCAATTGCTCTAACATCTCTAATAAACCAATCCAGAGTTGCATGAATAAGCTTCATAAAACCCTGAGATATTATTATAACTTCTTATGGGAGCTGGATAATAGGCTCCTCCTCAAGGATCTATTGCATTAACTTAATAGGAAGTTTAAGATATTGAAACTGTACTTATTATTATTATTCTAGATCATTGGATTAGGTTTCACTAAATAAGATGCATTAGAAGGTTACTTAGCATGTGATAAAAATATGGAAATGGCTATCAATTATTTATTTGAGAAATAAGCAAATGGAGATTTATTTAGTATTTTATTTATTAAACCTAGCCTAACATGTTTAAAGAGAGCAAACAAATCCCCAAAACTAATAGCCACATGGCGGAAATGACGGACCAATGGACGAAGATGATGATGACGATGTTTATTAATGATAAATTATAATAATTTCATCCTATTTCTTATATTGATTATTAAATGAATAATTTGATAATAAAACTATATCAATATCCATCTCTTTCAAATACATTGAAAAGCCTATTATGATTTTTTTTGCTATGTAATATGCTTTAATATTAAATAAAGTTACATTTCAAGCGAAAATTTTATCTATTTTTTTTACTTGAGAGTAAGTAACAAGATGAATTATCTATTTGATTATAAATTATTTATTGGAACACCTCATCTATATAAGGGACCTCTATCTCATAAAATGCCAAAAGATGGAACAATAAATATTTCACACATTTCAATTTAGATTCCTGATTTTTTTATAAAAATTATGATAACCATTATGAAGACTACGCTTACTATTAGATGAGTTGACGAAAGATAAAAGATTTGATTAACTGCCTTTTAAAGTGATAATCACTTTTACCTATTGTGAATAGTACTACTTTTTTATATTAGAATAAATTTCTTTTATTTATAGTTTAATTTTTAATAATATAAATCAAATATAGGTAAATTATTTAAATAATCATTTTTTTCATAATTTTAGCTCACATAGGAATGATATAAATTTTTACCAAATAAAATAATCACTATGGTTTATATAATTAAATAATAAAAATAATAATATGAATGATATACATGGATAATTTTTTATTTGGAATCATTTTTAATTATATGTTAATCTCTAACAAGGTATTAAGCAAAGACTTTTCAATTCTACAATAATGTTTAACATCTTTGTCTAGCTATACAGATGGTTCATTAGAAATAAAATAACATGACTTACAAAACCTTAATAGAGGTACTTTATCATAAAATATGTTTAGAAGCTTCAAACTACTAGAATTTCATATTTGTGGCATAATTAATAACATATGCTATTGGAAAGTTATTCTAGATCATGATTATTCTTTTGTTATAATCAATATCTTACCTTACCCTAAACAACATTCCTCCAAGAGTTTTCGATTGAACAGCATATAAGTTTTAGATCGACATTTCATATATCTTCAGCATCTTAGATGTTAAGAAAGGGATGCAAAATATTTAAAAGACTTGAAATTGGTATTCTGAAATATANCATTTCAGAAATGAGCAAAAAAAATTCCAAGAATCTAGGTATAAATATCAAATGGAATTGTTTTTAGGAGTTTAAAATTACTTACAGAACAGAAGAAGCATTAGTAGTTTAATAATGCTTTGGATCTATGCCCTCAATTTGGCGAAGCCTACACTTTAAGAAGTTCAAAGTTTAAAAAATCCATTTATAAAATGATATGAAAAAATAAAATTATATGTGGAAAATGTAAATTAGAATGCTGAAAGCTATTATTAAAGAGGTATCTTAACATTTAAGGAACAATTTATAGGAAAAAATAATTATTTGATCTAACTTTATAAGATTATATGAAGTGTGTTTAGATTAATCCAAAATTTGCAAAGTGTTATAGTAGAATGGGTAATAAAATACTCATAATGCATAGGCACTGTTATGAGCGATTTATAATAACAGGATGTTGCGCTCTAAAATTCTAATTAGTATAGAAAATGATGGGAACTGCATTTATGTTTAGAAGTAATGTAAAATTCATATTTTTAGCTTGGTATAATTAAAATGAACAAATGAATGATGATGCACTTAGAGATTTCAATTAAGCTTTAAAAATGAATCCAAAATATGCTTTAGCCTATAATTACAGAGGTGAATACTATTACACATAATATTTTAGCCATATTATTTAAAGATATTGGTGGCAAAGATAAAGAATTAAGTGACTATTAACAAGGATTTTGTCTATCTCTTAATGATCCGTTGTTATTATGCAATTTGGGTGATTATTATTACATTCTTTCTGACCATACTTAATAAACTTTGAATGTTCTCAAAAGGCCTTAGATTCTTTATAGAGGTTAAAATAATCAGAAATGGTGAAATGACATTTAAACAAATAAAGTATTAATATCATAAAATCTAAAGATTGACATCCTAAAAAAATTAGATAAAGAAATTGAGCAATCTAAATATCTTTTCGAGAAGTTGCCAATCGAAAAGCCTTAATTAATCTAGGAAATTAAAAATCTTTGAATTAGATATATTAACAAATAATAACCAATACTTTTCCATCTATCAGAATTTATTTTTTCAATTAATTATTGTTTATAAAATTACTTTTAAATTCAAATGATAGGCATAAATTCATAAATCAAAAAAAATTAGTTTGACACAAGTTATAAAATAATCTTAAGACAAAAATAATAGAAGTTCCAACTGATTAATAGGATTAATTTAGCAACATTCTCAACCATTAATTATGAGCCTTCAATAAGAGAAGAAAAGAAATTCTATCCTTATCATCATAATTAATATTATTTGCTCCTTTCGAAACTCTTCTTTCCAGATCTAACAGGATATTCATTATTTGAAAAAAATTAAAAAAAGAACGCTTACCAAAATTATCATATTGGGAAGATCTAAAATAAAATGATGAGGATTCTTAAAAAATTGAGTAACAAAATAAAAGAAAAAGTATCTGTTACGATTTAATAAACATAATATTTTTGCTAATTAAAATTTATTATCTTAGATTTTTTACTTATTATTGAAGCTCCAGCAAAGAATTGGGAATCTATCACAATGAATAAAGTAGTTAAAATTGCTTTAAAAAATCAAAAGGATGATGCATATCCATCCGTTCTAAACCTATTGTGTGTGTTTTTTTAACTAGCATAATTATAATTTGGCAAAGATTTTCTCAATCAAAGCAAGGATTATTCTTATTAATTTAGTTTATTAAAAGTTAACTAAATTAAGTGCTTATTCAATAGCTGAAGCGAATAGGTAAAAATTTTAATTTAGCCTCTGGTGATATCAATTATCCTAAATATGTCTTTATTAAAGTCCATTTAGTATTAGAATAATCTATAGTAGTGTTTGTTTTTTGTCCATGATTTTTGGATACTACATATTATGATATAGATTTAATCGGCCTATTGGCTTGATTGCACTCGCAATGAAAGTGAATCCCTAGAAATAAAATTGGATTTGACCTAGAATTCAGTTAAAGAATTTTCCGTCTTATTGGATTAGAAATTTATTCAGGAGAAGCTTGGGGCCTGTATTGGTAGAGTTGGTTATTTCTGTAGATAGTGGCTCTTCAAAAATTGAATTAAAATTTGCCAATAAATGTGTTTTACTGGCAGCATATTTTGGATAAGTCATTTTTATAATAATTATACAATTCAAACTTTAGTTAAACATTCAAAAATGCTTTCGATTTTATATTCACTGAGTGTATTAATAAACAGACTTATATTATTTGGATGATCCATTATATGATTTTGATGAAAATGTTGATAAAAAAACTTTTAGATTGACAATCAAAGAACTTATTTCTTAGAATTAAATTAAGAGTATAAAATTCTTCTCAGAGGATAAATTAAGAAATTATAAAATTTTAAATATTGTTACCAGTTTCATATTTTGATGAAAATCATCTGGAAGAATTCTCAATAATTTTTTCTAATAATCTATCTTTATTTGATAGTCAAAAAAATTGAGTTAGCTTAGATGTATTAGAAATAATTGGCAATTTCTTATTTGCTCTAATATAAATTTTGATGATTTTATTAAGAGACAAATCAATATTTCTGTATTATCTTGAGGATTATTCGTATTATCTGAATATAATGGTTTGATACAATGAGTATTAAAACAATAAATAATTTTTCATACTTTAGATTATAGATGTATTGCCAAGCCTCCTTAAAATGTTAAAGAAGATGATAAACATCTTGATTTTTCAAAGGATGGAAGAGGATACAGATCAAATCTTTATTTAGTACTTAAAGAATAGACATATGAAATTTAAAGTAGTGAAAAAATTGGTTTTTGAAGAACAGGCCCTGAAAATCAAGCCATTTTTAGAATGCCAGAAATAGAAGATTTATTGAAATAAAAATTATTTAATTCTAGTTAAAAAATTAGAAAAATTAGGATTACATAGGGTAAGAAATAAATTTGTAATTATCACTTAATCTCCTTTCTTATGCAAATTAATTTATTGTATATTGAAGAGAAGTTTCACTATAGAATATTTGTAATCCTTTGGCCAAATAGATGATTTACGCTTTTTGTAATTTAAAAGGTAGATTTGTAGTATTAATTTTCATTATTTGTTATATAAATATTGATTTTTAAAATATTTCAAATTTTTATTAAAACAGCATTAAAATTATACATAATTGAATTTATAATAATATCAAAATTATGATTCTAAAATATTGATACAAATATCAACTTTAGTCTGAATTTCGTTTTAATTTAAACTTCATAAATCCTATTTCATTCTTAAAAATGAAAATATGTAATGATACAATAAATGATTGAAAAATGATTTTATCTTATGCTTCCAAAATATTTGAATTACTTACCTCAATTTAAATTTAGGAATAATAAAAATAAATTAAAGAATACATATTTAAATATTGAATTTTTGAATTCTAATAATTTGGATAAATTTTATAAATTAGAATATTTTTTCAACAGCCCTTCTTATTTTGAATTTAGATTTATTATTAAAAATAGTTGATAAGTCTATATTAATATTTAAAATTCAACAAAACATTTGAAATTTGGCTCAAAACTAGTGCTTAACAGTATGTGGATAAATTGATTACAATAAATATGATGACTTGATATAGTTATAAGGCCCTCCTCAACAATTTGATTGTACATACCATAAAGAAAAGTTTGAAATTAAACCTAATGAGACAGTGAAAGCATTAAAAATAACATTAAATGAATACAATATATTGAATTTTAAGACAAATGAGCAAAATATGTAATAAATCTAATAAATTAAATTTGGTCCAAAAGTTGCTAAAGTATGTAGAATTGGATGTAAAAGAGTAATCGATTGGTGCAAAATGCTCCCATTAAAAGAAGATGAATTTAACGAAGTTTTAGGTATTTTGGATAAAAGCTTTTGTGATTACTTAGTTTACCTAGAAAATGTATAAAATTAACGAACAACTTTCTATGAAAGTTAACTTAAAAATGAAATAGAAAAAAAATTTAAGAATAAAAGACAAAGTTGAAAAAATAATGATCAAGGATCTTTTAATATAAAAATATATATTATTTTATTTCTTATAAATTAATCAATAAATAAGGTTATCAAATTCATGAGAAAAGCTAGAAATAAATTTATTTGATAAAATTGAAAATACCAAGGCTTGTTATCTTAAAAAATAATAATAAGCGATATTTTTTGTTATTCCTGAATTTAAATAGATTTTTAATATAAGATATCTTACATTTAAAGAAAGAATAAAACATTAATTATAAAATTATACAATATCCTAATAAAATGATGAAATCTACTTAGAAAAAAAGCTCATGATGCTGACTTTTCAATTATGATAATTTTTGATTGCCTTGTTTATTCTTCAATTACTTTTGAAGTTTCTTGCAAAAATTGATATGATCTGATATTGCACTAAAATCAAATTAAATACTTAACAGCTATTAGGTTTATAATCACCAAATATTAATTAAAAAAAACTTTAGTTCTATTGTTTATTTAATGCTTAATAGTGTTAAGTATTGATTATAATCCCCACTAGACAATCCTACTAACTATATAATAATTAGCATACCGATATTAGAAGTAGGTATTTTATATTTTATTTCTTATACCAGAATTGAGTTAAAATATTATTTTAATCAATTTATGAATAAAAACACCTAATTATTAAATTATTTGATTCTTATAGAGGAACAAATATCTAACTAGAAAGAGTTTGGATGAACCTAGTCAATTCATTATCATTTTATTTACAAATTTTATGGACGGTAATTCTCTTTGTCTATTTAATATATATTTAAAAATAAGTAATAGTATAAATATTATTAATGATGTTCTAAAATAATGGAGTGCTAGCTAGTTAAATATTTAAATCAAGATTTTTAATTTGAAATCTATAATTGATGATATGACAAGGAGAAAAATAATATTTGGAAATTTTATTTCATCTAATTATCTTGATTTTCTGACAACAATGTTAGAATTTAGAATTTTTTAATATTTTATTAAATTAGATAATTCTGTATTAGAAATAGCTTTACTATGTTGAAAAGATATTTTATTAAAGTATTTGTAATATTTTCTAAATATTTAGGTTTTTTCCATTTAATTTAAATATGAGTATTGTTTGGGTTAACAAATATTAAATGAAGCTTAATATAATCTTATATTTTTTGGTTAACTAATTATTATTTATGATTAATCAATACCAAACTTTAACCAAGGAGTTGAGATATATTCTTGCTCGAATTATATTATCTTTTTATTATTAAATAAAAATGAAATCATTTTTTGTATTTCAAATATTTCTATAAGTGCTCAGTGAAGCATAAAAAAATTAAGGAGAAATTGAACAGATTAGTATTTATCCCACTTAAGGGGAGATTATGTAGGTGCCAATATAAGGATTTTTGGAAGGTACTTTTTTTTCTTTTGAATATCGACCAAAATAGCCTTTTCTAAAATTAATTGATGTTTATAAAAAGACTTCATTTGCAAAAGGAGATTGTATTATTTATTAAAATTATATTTAGCTTACCGTTCAATATCCTCAAATGGAACACACTTTGCCTTGATTACCAATGATCAAAATATAATTGTCTATAGATGGGAAAATTAATAAATTGAATAAGTTGAACCAATATATGCAATATCAGAATAATGCTTTAATACTTTGTTTTCATATTAAATCAATACTATAATAGTTGATTGTTACTATTTAAACAATTTAGAAATAAAAGAATTATAACATGGCAATTAAAAGACACTTTATCAAACATAATCTTAACTGCCGATCAAAACAAAAATTAAATAAATTATAAATGGATCTAATTATTTCACAGTTTATGCTTAATTTTTTGAAAATTATTCAGTTCTTACTTTATTTTCATTAAGGTTTGTAAATATAACATCTTGGATCAGTGACTTTATTGATTTTGATGTTTCATAAAAAGGTTTTAATGTTATTTATGTGCTTTCATTAAATCTCCTCTAATAAATAAAAATTTCTGATTAATATACTTTTGAAATTAATGCTAATTCTTAAAATTTTGACTTTACGGATGGAAAGGTATAATTTTTTTCTGTCTATTATAATGACATAATAAATTCTTAATGTGATTAAATTATACTTGTATTTTATTCAAAACGTGACATCTTTATTAACAAAAAATATGGATGCCTAGATTCAATTTTAGATCCAAATGAATTCGAATTCTATAAAATACCGATATAATAAGGATAGCCACTTTAAATTACATTCAATGATTAATTTTACTTAATTCAAATGACAAATACGTTATTGATATCTCCTACCTTTTGGAATAGCCGTTATTTCATAGAAAAAATTAAAAATTCTAGTTTATTATATTTTAATACCAAAACAAATGAATTATTTATATTCGATAGGATAATTGAAACATTTCAATTAAATTTTCCTTATTTAGAAATAAATTTAATTTAGTATTAGCCTTAATTAAACACATTTTTAATTGAAATATATGCTAATGTTTATATTTTACCCATAATACCAAAGATTAATATAAAAATTTAAATTTTAAATTAAGATGATGCTAATGTTTATGTAATAACTTATAAAAACTTTATATAAAACTAGCTATTATTGGGAAATTCATTATAAACCAAGTTATCTGGGTTTTCAGGATAATTACTTTAATACTAATCTAATTAGAATGATTTATAATTTGGCCAATTTATAAATGTAAATCTTTTAAAAGTGTATGATTTCTATCCTTTATAATTTGAATTTGCATAATTACTGAATACCATCTACTATTTTTAATCCATCTCCTTAGGAAATTTTGGAAACTATTTAGTTGGTATTAAGGACTAGATTTTAATATTTTATTATTGTTAGTAATATTCATATGATTTGTAGCAAAAAAAAAAATATAATTGCACAATTATTGATTAGACTCCAATTTTTGCTAATGTTTCATAATTATAAATTGGTTATAATTATTTCTCATATGTAGTGGCAGGTATATAATATTAGTAAGATATCTAAATATTCTAATTAAATTTTGAAAAATCAATATCCAATTAAACAATAAATCTTGAATAACAATTTACTCAGTATCTTATAAATTATGATAATATTATTGGTTTGATAGAGTATAAAGAAATATAAATCATTTCATATACTATGAATAATAAAATTGTATTAAATGAAAGCCTTTTTCATGAAATATTTTAATTAACAAATATCTCTTTTTAACCAATTTAAATAGCATCAAATGTGCAATATTAATCTGCAATCTTATTCATCAATAATGTAAACAATGTTGTTATCGTTGCAATAAATGGAAATAATGATATTATTCCTAAATCAATAATTAGATGTTAATTTTAAATATCATCTCTAAATATAGTTAATCAAAAAATAATACTTTCTTATTAATGCAACAATCAAACTTCGTATTGTTTTTAGGTTTGGAATTTCAATAACATTCTTAGTCCTTTTTTTGAAAAAGAATTATTAAGCATTGAATACAAATATCAATTCAATTTTATGTCCGATAATTTATTTTTTTATGTCACTCTTGAAAACAAGACTATTTTTATTTATAATCCTTATTCATCAAGGCACATGTCTTTATTTAAAAAATTAGAGTTGGATTATATTATATTGAGCACAACAACTAACAGTTAAAGTTCTATATTATTTTATAATAATACTATTTTATTGTTATCATCTATAGAGTAAGAGTTATTTAAAGTAAATGAATCACTTATTTATCAAAATTACTACCCATTGATGATTTATAGATTTTAAGTAACTTCCTATTAAATCCTTCTTCTATCTAATATACACCTTTATAAAGTCTTACTTACTTATCAAATTTTACAATACTATAAAATGTTACTTAATAAGAAGTAAGTGTAGATGTTGTAGATATCAATTATTAACAGCATTCATTTATAAAACAGTTAAATATCTAAAGGTAAATAATAGGATGTTATTTGTTTGACCAAAACAGCAAGTGTTTTTTAAATAATATTAATTCATCTTTACTTCTAACTTAAAACAATTTTTCCTTTACATTAATCACACCTATTAACAATAATTTTTTCGTATTATAGAGTAATTTGCAAATTACAATATTAAATAGTTAATTAGAATATAATTGTTCTAAAACTTATGATTATTCTAGTTATAATTTTTCAGAGTGCTTAATATCAACTTCAAAGGGAAATCAATTATTTTCTATATGTTAAAATTCCACTGGATAATATTATATAATATTTTAAATTGATTCTCTTGGATATGCAACTATTTATAGAATAAACTTACTTGCATAACAGTTTAACAAATTAATAAAGATATCATTTATTGATAATTATTGCTTCATTTTAGGTGATGACTTATTGTATTTATTGAATATCCAAAATGAAGAGTTTTTTCAGAGATCCTATTAATGCGAAGATTTTTCTGCTTTCCCTTTATATTAGATAAATTTTATTGATAATTCATAATATGATATTATTGTGCTTATTTTCATTTAATATTACGAACTGTATTATTCAATAATCGTTTTGGGTGAAAATTAGTATTTTTAAAATAAAGTAGATCTAAATTATGTTGAAGAAATTTTTAATGATAATTTATAATTTTTATTCTCATATATTACTATCTTAGATATACAAAGATCTAAAATTTTACTTATAACCGGTTTTATTAATCAAACAAGTTGGATATTAAGTTTAAAAATCAACCTAGAAAAATAAATTTTAAGTTTTCATAATATAGTTGGCACAATCCCACCATATGGTAATTATGAAATTCTTAAAAATATTCAATATTAACATGGCTTTTTGGCTATGTAATTAATTTATGGAAATTCTCAATTCATGATATTAATTTATGATCTATCTGATTTAACTAATTAAGAAATGAATCAACCTTTGTTAATTTATTAAAATTAATAAAATTTATCTACAGCAAGTTTTGGGATGAACATTAGTAAAGAATTTAAGAATGGAACAATTATTACTTTTAAAAATAATTCTATTTATTATTAGTTTATAAATACATATAGCATTACATGTAGATTTAGAAATAAGTAAACATAAATTAATGTAAAAATGATTTGCTATAACGATTTTTCAAGAGGAGAATTTAAATTTTAATATTAATTACCTAATTTGTAAAAAAAAAAGTAACACTGGTATTATATTCTGCTTTCTATTATTATGATTCTTTTAATAAG